ATTTTAACAATGAAAAATGTAAAACAGATTTACCCAACATGCAAGTAAGAAAAGTAAACAGATGAGCAAAAGCTGCACAATATAGAAATTAGATTTTTCATCTACCAGGCTTAGCCTGAATCCTCATCTTTGTGCTACCACAAGACTTCAGAAAGTGAGGCAGGGAGCAGGAAAGTTCACTTCTGCTGCTACTGTAATTGGATTTCTGTGTACTGACACCATTTAACAGCATGCAGCAGCTGAATCACTGCAGAAAGCTCCTGCATTTTGAAAATAGAATTAGAAAAAAGAATAGGAACATAGCCTTATTTGCACATATTTTTACCTTTTGAGGTACTATGTTTTTAATTTATGAGCATCTAAAAATGTCAGATAGCTTCTCACCCAATACTGGATAGCAAAGAGGCAGCAAATAATTAGAACAGCACTCTTTGAAACAGAGAGCCCTGGCCACCAGCCTGATAATTTCTTACAGGTTTGCATTTTACCTTTTGACAAAACAATGGTTTAGAATCATATCCATGAGAGAAAAATATAAGCAAAAAATAAAAGTAAAAAAAGTCGATTGTAGGCAGCTATGTTTACTTTTAAGGCATTGTCTGCACACACAGTAATACAGCAGCTCAATGGCTTGTATTGTTGTTGTTTTTTTTAACAAATAATAATAAAATGGAAATAATAAAATACAATGGAAATAATAAAAGTTCATTTTGCTAGGTTCTTCCTGCGTTCACTTTTTCAGAAAAAGAGTATGTGAGCACTTTCTGTTCTCATTTGTTGAAGGTAGAACTTTTTTAGTCTTCTCCAAATGACATACTTAAGCAAAATGCACTTTAAAATATACTTTAACTTTTATTTTAGAGATCTTTTCAACTTAGGAACTTTCAAAAATAGTGTTCCTGAAGGGATTTTTAAAATCCTGTTCCAAGTGGTTTTTTTCTTAACATCCAGTACAGTTGCCCACATGCCCCTCTCAGCTCCATCACCATGAGAAGCCGCACCTTCCCCTTTCACTGGGACACCCTTTATCCTTTCTTGTTAGAAAAGCTCCAAAAGGCAATCTCAGCTGAGTGCAGAATTATCCTGAAATAAAAAACCCACTTGAAAACAGAAATTCCATTGAAAGGCAATAATCAAACATGGCACTAAACTTTTCCATGAGAGGTAACATGACAGTTCTAGAAAGCAGTTCTGGACCTCCCACTCTTCCACCTCAGGCTTCCAGGCACCAAATGGAATGGCCAGGCTCCCACAGGTTGACTGTAGTGCTGCAGGGGATGCTGGCTCATTTTCTAGCACAATAATGAGCTCTAAGGCTTCCTTACAAGACAAATCACAGGATCACACCATGTTTTGTGTTGGAAAGGACCTTAAAGTTATCATCTCATTCCAACCCCCCTGCCATGGGCAGGGAAGCTTCCACTATCCCAGATTCCTCAGTGCCCATCCAGCCTGGCCTTGGACACCTCCAGGGATGGAGCAGCCACAGCTTCTCTGAGTGACCTGGGCCAGTGCCTCAGCACCTTCACAGGGACAAATTTCTTCCCAATATCCAGTTTAAGTCTGCCCTCTGTCAATCTAAAGTCATTTCTCCTTGTTCTGTCACTACACTGTCCTTGTGAAAAGCCCCTCTCCAGCTCTCTTCTAACCCCTTTAGGAGCTGGAAAGCTGCTGGAAGGTCCCCCCAGAGCCTTCTCCTCTGCAGGCTGAATAACCTGGATAGCTCAGCCTGTCTTCACAGGAGAGGTGCTCCAGCCCTCTGAGCATCTTTGTGGCCTCCTCTGGACTCAGTCCAGCAGCTCTGTGCCCAATTTTTGTTGGGTGCCCCAGAGCTGGATGCAGAGCTCCGGGTGGGCTCTCAGCAGAGCAGAGCAGAGCAGAGGGGCAGGATCCCCTCCCTTGCCCTGCTGCTCACGGTGCTCTGGATGCAGCCCAGGGCACATTTGCCTTTCTGGGCTGTGAGTGCACATTGCTGGCTCCTGTTGAGCTCCTGCCAACCAACACCCCCAGCCCTTCTCCTCAGGGCTGTTCTCCATCCATTCCCAGCCCAG